AGGGTTCTAAAAGAGCTACTATAAGGGTTTAGGGTTTAGGGGCCTTAATAATCGGAATAAGGTTTTGGGGGCCCATTGTACTATAGGTATCATAATGAACCCCCAAAATAGTATGGGTAATTAAGTTAATCCCCTTTATTAATGCCTGCCCCCTAAAAAGTGGGTTAGGGTTCCTGTGAAGGGTTCCGTTACAGTGGCTCCATAAGGGATCCATAGGATAGAGGGTTTAGGGTTTAGGGGTTTAGGGTTGAGGGGTTTAGGGTTCAGGGTTTTAGGGTTAAGGATTTTGGGTTTCAGGGGTTTAGGAATCAGGGTTTTAAGGTTCTGTTACTAGGTATCCATTAATTGTAGCTCCTTCTTTGGTACGCCTACTTTATGGTACAGGGTCCGAAATGTAAATCTGGCCAACCAGAAGAAGAAACTACCTATCGTCTCCATTGTAGTTCCTTTCCGGGCTAACTTTTAGGACCCCTTAATTTAAACCTGAACCCTAAACCCTAAACCCTAAACCCTAAAGCCTAAAACCACCAAAACAAAAGGCAATGGAGACTTTTTGGGTACAATGAAGGCTGCAGGTCGGCTCTTAGAGGTTCAGGTTCAGGATTGATCTAGGGTATACCTACAACACATAAGAGTAGGGTTTAGGGTTTAGGGTTTAGGGTTTAGGGTCTACGGTTTGGGGTTTAGGGTTTCAATTCGGAGTTTAGGGACTAGGATCGGGTACCACTTTCATATCTTCTTCATTTTGAACAAGGAAGCCCCAGATTAGAAAGGGTAGAAGGGAATGTTCGGAGCAGCATAAAAGGCCGACAGGTATATACTGTGGGTACCTGGACCCCTTTGGGGTTTATGTTCTAGGGGAGGGCTTAGGAATTTTGCGCCTGCATGTCGGTGAGGGGCGTTTCTCCTCCCACCCATTGGTCAACTCTCTTGGCATAGAAGAGCCTCAGCTCTTGCGCCCCAAACCCTAAACCCTATAGCCTAAACCCGTCCTTCACAGCGTTCCTTCAAAAGTAACTGTAAGTCTATATAATAAGGGTAGTGTACGAGCCTTACTGCCTGGAATGAGGTTTGGGTGCACATTGTGTTGTAATTGTATTTTCGCTGTCAGGGGACACTGTTACTAGTTAATACGGCCTCTAACATTACGGCTCCGGGCTTTCGTACTTAGGTGCTGAGGGTTCACAGAGTTTAGGATTTGAGTCCTTAGACCCTAAACCCTCAGCCCCTAAACCCTAAACCGGGGGTATTATAGAGGCTTCGGGCTTTGTTTCAGGTTTGGAAGGCTTATCAGGGCTTCAGCTGGAAATACCTGGAGTTCCTTGTCTGACACGTTTAGGGGTGTAGGGGGCTCAGGGTCCATGTGCCCATGTGGCATCTAATTTGCGCTTAAAGTAATCTTGTCAAAAAAAAACAGATCTTGAGGCCTAAGTACATACTATACTGCATATGTAGGCACATGGACCCCTCGGGATGTTAACTCAAACCTTTGCCCAGGAGCTGTGTTGCAGGAGGGAAATCGCGGAAAGACATCTCTATATGAACTGGAACTGTTCGATGTGGTTGAAAGTCCGCAGCCGTAAAGACATACGTCGTGTTATGAATCCCGCTTCGTGGGGAGGTCCCCAAATACTCCTTCTCCTTGGTGTACAACACAGGCAAGCCTAAACCCGGACCCTGCAAACCCTGAACCCTATCAACCCAAAACCAGCAGGTAAACCCGACAAATCTCTGGGGGTGCACATGCCCATGCAGTATATGCTTTGCCCTCAAGAGCCCGCGTAGAAGGCCCATCACACCCGAAGCATATACTAAATGCGAAACCCTAAACCGCTAAATTCTAAACCTCTAAGCTGGGTTGCTCTTTATTACCTTGCTAAAATTATAACTTTTAGTACCCCTAATATCAAAAAAGGCTAATCCTAAAAGTGATAAAGCTCTACAGTGACTGTAAAGTTCAACCAAGTAAGCTCTAAACATCCAAGGCCCAAACACCTAACCCTAAACCCTCTGTGCATACATACCTAAACCCGAAACCCTCTTGGCCCTGACATCATTCAATGCAAGGGCCCTAGTAATTAGCATAGGGTTTTGGGGGCTCCTTTAAAGGGCTCCTTAAACGGTTCTATAAGGGCTACTATAAGGGTGCAGGGTTTAGGGGCCTTAATAACGGGTTTGTGGGGGCTCCTTTCTATAATTATAGTATAGTAGGCCCCAGACCCTATTCTAATTTTTAAGGCCCCTTTTTGTCGACCAGTTTTTGCTAGACCGCAATCGCCTGAGCAATTCAAAGAAGCCAACATTTAAGGGATGTAGGGTTTAGGGTTTCGGGGTAAGCCCATGAATCACGTGCATGACAGTTTCCGTGAGCGCATTGGTGAGTTGATATAGGGCTGTTTGAGAAGAGTATTGGTGAGCGTATGTTTGGGTTGGCTATTGCGGATACTATTAGAAACCCTCAACTCCAAAGGCACTTAAGCCCTGAACCTCATTAACCCTCAACCTGTAAATCCCTAACCCCTAAACCCCGAAACCATGCCCTAAACCCGAAATCCCTAAACCCCTAGACCCGGCCCTAAACCCAAACCCATAAACCCCTAAACCCCTACCCTAAGGGTCCATGTGCCCAAAAGGGTTCCTTTAAGGGGTCCTTTAAGGGGTCTATAGGGTTCTATAGGGTTTAAGGGTTCATGTACCCAAATAGTATACTTTGGCCTAAATGTAGTCCCTATATAAGTACTTTAGGGCCAATGTATATACTATTTGGGCACATGGACCCTAAGGGCTAAACCCTAAACCCTAAACCGCTAAACCCCTAAACCCCCAAACCCTCAAACCCCTAAACCCCTAAACCCTAAAACCAAGGTATATACTATTTGGGTACATGGACCCCCTGCTCCATATCAAAGCCTCGAGATTGGGCCTAAACCCTAAACCCTAAACCCTAAACCCCTAAGCCCTAAACCCTAAACCCTAAACCCTAAACTCAACCCTGCTTCAAAACAAAGCCTCGAGATTGGGGACCATCGCCAGGGCCACGGCTTCAAAGGCAGACGCGTCTTCGATCTGAAAGCCGCGGAACAAAAGTGCGCCATACTGCACGAAAGCATGCCTCAAGCATTTCCTGGGTTCTCCCGAAGGGTTTAGGGTTTAGGTTTGGGGTTCAGGGTTTAGGATTTAGGGTTTAGGACTAAGCTACCCTAAAAAGAGATCTAGAGAAAATCATGTGGTTGCTGTATTATGATAACTTTAGGTTACATTCCTTATCAAGGACCCGGCTTCGTGTTCTTTTGCATCCAGTCTGTTAGCCAGGGTGAGTCCAGCACCATATCCGTCTTGGGAGAAATCCTCGCCACGAACTTATTCTCCAGGGAGAACTGAAGCTCCGGTGTGAAACAACTTTCATCGAATGCGCCCTGGAGCTGTGGAGGCTTGGGTTACTGGGACCCCGCAAGTGCCCTTTAATAAAGCCCGAATGGTTCTTAATACTGGGCATTTAGGGCATATATATATATATATAGACATATGTATATATATATATATATATATTGGAGAGTAGTTGGGGGGTCTAGGATTCAACCGCAACAAATAATATAGGAGCCTTAGTCATCAGAATAGGGTTTTGGGTTTTGGGGTCCTTTATAGTGTTTATAACGAGGAACCCCCCAAAATAAGATAGGTAATTATTAAGGCCCCTATATTAGACCCCAAATGCAAAACAAGAACAAGCACCAAAAAATCAAACACTAAACCCCAAATATAGTTAATTATTAAGGCCCCTGTACACACCCACAAGAAAAACAGATACCGCCGGCTTTCCACAAAGCTGCTGTCGACGCCACAAGCAGCGGGCACGCGATGAGCAGAAATCCATGCGCCCAAAGGCCATGCATGGCTCCGCTCCGCACTATGCAACCCGGTTTTAACCTCACAGTCCACGGTTTATGGCTTCCCTAAACCCTAAACCCTAAACGGTTTAGGGTTTCAGGTTTTCTTTCCATTCCGTATACTCGTTCCACAAGAAATTGCGCCATCTGGAGCATATTCCGATACCGCATCTTTTCCATATTCCTTGGGCAACTTTCAGTTACGCTTTTCAAAAAATGGCAAAGGCGAGCATGTGTATCCTGACTGCATGCAACATCTGGGCGAAACTCAGTTCAGATGCGCCAGTCCTTGCCGCTGACGACATACACCTCACCAAGGGCGTCCAGCGCGAGTGCACGGCGTTGCTCTGTCGATCTATCTTTGCCAGAATAATGTGCCATTGGCAAGTTCCACACTTTCCGCATCGACTTTGGGCTTCGTTGACAAAGATCCAAAAGCTCGCGCTGGAATACATGTTTCCCCCTAACAGCAAGAAGTGCCACGTTTCGCCTGACGTTGAGCGATTGTTATGTATGTGTGCCATGGTCAAGGGCCTGCTTTGGCTACGATACAACTCCAACAACAGATATGCCAAAGGTGTCCTGCGGTTGTTGCCCGGCCATGTTCAAGCTGCGTTCCAAAGCCATGACTCTCGACAAGCTGTTAGAGAATTGGTGAGTTGGCATGAAGCCTTGATCTTAGATACTGCTGAGCGCGAGGCGGTTGTTTATCAGTGGTTTTCTGGTCATTTCAGATACACAGGTTTTGCGCATGCTACACGTGACAGCGCGCCCAATGTTTCTGGACCAGTGAAACGCTTCTCTGAGCATATGATTGCGACCATGCGGCCCCATGTGCAGGAAGCAAAAAAGCTTCGCTATCGCATGGCTCGCAGACACCCCCCTTGGACACTCTTCTTCGTTGTCGTTGGACATGACACTGCTTTACGCATGCGTGCTGTTGAGTGGCATGACATCGTCAACCATAGGCCCTCTGCTAACGGCTACGTTGCCACCGGTGTCCGTGACAGGCAGAGAAAGCGTCCTCCCAAGCATTGTCGTCATCCTCAACCACCCAACCAGTCGGAAGATGAAGTCAGACTACATGCACGAGAGGCACGCTTGACGAAGATGGATCAAGGAGCTCAGTTACAGCGGGTCAACGTTCAGTTGATTCCATATGGTACTGCCTATAATGACCATGCAAGAGAAACTGTTGCTGACACTGGTTTGTTTGGTCCTTGCGACATCTACAACCCGGTCAATGCCCATTTACTTGCATTATGGCTCGTTACAAGGCTTGCATGTGTCGACTGGCAACTTTGTGAGCGGAAGTGGGGCAGGTCATTCTTGTTTCCTGCCATCAATGGCTTGAAACGGTTCTTGCCTCGTCCTGGCCAACGCGCCATGCTGAGTCGGAGATTGCGTGAGTATTGCGACTACAAACGCTTGCCTTTTACCTTTCTGCGGGTTGCATCTCCTGACAAGGAGTCTTCTCGTGTTGTTCGCAGAGTTCTGGCTGTCTATATTGACTCAGCTGCCAGGTTCTCTTCCGTCGAGAAGTCCTGGCTAAAGTCGCGCATACGTGTGCATGTTGGAAAGAGTCGCACTTTCAAATCCTTCTGGAATCACGTGCAAGTTGCTGGGAGAGCGTCTTTGACCTCCTTGGAAAGTTTAGGCACAGAGGACTTGACTTCCATAATGTCTGGACAGGGCTTCAGTCGCTCCGAATGCAACTGGGACTATAGATACAGGTTGACCTTTACCGAGCGTGTGCAGTTTATTCGTGATGGAGCCACCAAGGGGCTCATGACGCTTGGGTTGCCACGCCGAGATCTTGTCGGCATACACTCTACAGTGTCTTCTTCTTTGCGTTCGTCTGTGGAGGTACACAAGCTGTTTGCCCGACAACATAGGTCAGCAGAGTCGTATTCTCGTGAAACTAAAGGCTTGCAGTTCTATAGGTTGCGCCGCGCAGTTGTTCCTGACGACAAGAACAAGAAATGTGCTTGGATCCTCCCGAAGCTTGCATACCAGGTCTTATGCCTTGCATTCGTCTGCCTTTCCACGACTTGGACATTCGTCAAATACACCCGCTCCTATGCCAATTGCTTGTTGCTCCAGCGCATGAGGGATGCACTGGGTGTACCTCTTAGCGCACGTTTAGGACTACGTGATGGTGTTTGGGTCTTGCCGTATGTCTACACGACGTTGAAGAGCAAGTGTTTTTTTGATGGATGCAAAGTTGGACGATGTTGTCAAAAGCAGTCACACTCTTGTGTTCGCAAGATTTGCAGCTATGCCAGATGGCCGAAGCGACGGGTTTGGCAGTTCTTCAACCGTGGTGCAGAAGTTATCCTTCGTTTCATGTGCCCAGGATTTGAAGCTCATGGCTTGAAAGATGCAACCGTGAAACTACGTCAAGGCCTCAAGGACCTAGATATTCCCGGGGATCCTTACACATGCCTCAGGTGCCAAGCCTATAAACAAGATTTCGTTGCAATCGTTGCGGATGCTGGTCAGTTTTACGAAGAAGTTTCTCCCCAACGTGCTCTACAAGCTGGGTTTTCTGTTGTTTCCGAGGCAGCTGCTTGTGGATGGAAAGGTGTTGCTGTTGCTCGCACCAAGAAGTTCTTTGGTTTCATGACTTGTGAGCTACAAGGTGGCCGTGGCAAGTTTGTCCGTCTGAGTCTTTCTGACATTTTTGCTACGTTTTCGACTGCCATCAGCGTCTCCCTGGTGTCTGTGGGCCAAGCTGTTGCTATGCTGAGTGGTTTGCCGATAGGAGGCCTCATGAGCAAGCTGGCTTCTAGCATGGTTCTGTGCCAAGAGGAAGAACATTGGAAAGCACAGTATATGCGCAGGCTACATGCAGGTTTTTATTCCTTGCGAAATTCCTGGACACGCACGGTTTGTCATATCAGATATGTTGACGATGTGTTCTTGGGCACCCACAGTTTTTGCAGGGATTGCTTGACTGATCTCCTTTCACATGTCTACAATGTGCAGTTCGATGTCGCCGCAGATAGTTTCCCCCTTCAGTTTTTAGACATGGTGGTGAGTTCTGACAAGTGCTTGACACCCAAAAGAAAGACGGTACAGCTTCCTCCCCCATGGGCAACTGGAGAAGGGTACATCCGCCCGTTGCTGTTGGGCGCACTACACCGGGCTTCGCAGGTATGTGATAGACAGTGTGACCTACATGTGTATATGCTCCATTTCCTTCTGGATTGCATGTGTTGCGGTTGGGGCAGCAGAGTACTGGCGAAGGTGTTGTTCACTATACACATTGTGAGTTTGCACGACACTGTTTGTTTACTTCGGACTGCTATCCGTGATCCAATGTTCAAGCAAATCGCAGCCTGTTACCAGAGACAGAAGCAGCGCGATGGTCCCGCTTAGCCTTTTGCTATGGTTCCTGCTTTTTCCTTGCCGCCTTGAGGCGACATGGGGCAAGGGGGGCAACAAAGGCTACTACAACCAGTGGTCGTCTAAAAACTGGAACCGGGGCAATTGGTCCAGTGGGCATCAGCAGTCATGGGGTGGAAAAGGAAACTCTTCAGGTCCGAATTTTGATGCTGGGATGGCTTACGCCATGCTGTTGGCAGATCGAGAGAATCATGGACGGCGTCATGGCCGCAAGAAGCGCTCTCATCGCGATGATGATGCCTCGTCAGGTTCTTCCCGTTCGTCATCTGCAGAC